AATTGGGCTTTCTAAACAAATTTTTATAAAGACCTTAAAAATTATTTTTCATTAAAAATTTTCCCCAAGGGGTTATTTTTTTAAGGGGTTAAAAAAAAAAAGGGTTTTTTCTTAAAAAAATTTTGTTTTTGGGCAGGCCCCCTTTTAATTTTTAGTTTTAAGAAAAGTTTAATTTCCAATTTTTTGAAAAAAAAAAAAACTTTCTCTGGCTAACTCAATAAAAAACATTAAAATTTTTCTCTTTCAAAATTTTCAAATAAAAAAAATTTCCCTTCACTGGGGGGCGCCAAGGGCGGGGGGTTTTTTTAATTTTTCCTTTTGGGAAAAAAATTTTTGAAACCCTTTTGCCCCGTAAATCTCCCTTTTATACCCCGGATTTTTTTTTTTTTGGTGAGCAAATTTGCAAATTTCCAAAGCTTTTGGTAAACTTTTTGGTACCCCCCGTAAACTAAAAAGAAATTTTGGCATCGTTTTTTTAAAACCACCAGTTTTGGGCCCGGCTGAAACCGGACCTTAAAAAACTAAAACAACAAAACTCGCCCACTAAATTTGAAACATTCCCCTTCTAATTGGAAAAAAAAGGAAAAAATCTGGCCCAAACCCTAAAAAACTAAACCTTTTTTTTAAATTTTTTATAATTTTTAAAGGGCCAATTTTTTTTTTTCAAATTTTGGTTTATCCCTTTTTTTTTGTAAATTTTTTCCCAAGGAAAATTTTAAAATTTTAAATTTTTTTTTGTTTTGAAGGGGAAAAACATTTTTTCCAAGTAAACCCAAACCCGGTGGGGAATAAATTAAAATTAAAATTGTCAACATCCGTTAAAACGGGGGCCCAAAGGGTCAAGGCAAGAAATTTAAAACTGCTTACATTATCTTCTATAATTTTAACAAAAACTTTTTCCCTTTAAAAAATATTGATTTTTATAAACCTGAAAAAAAATCCCTTTCCACTGATCCTGCAAATTTTCAAAACCCCTCCTCATCCCCCAAATTGTTTCCCCTTTAGACAACAACATTTTTTTAAAAGGGTTTAAACTTAATCCCAATTTCCTTCCTTTAAAAACCTGCGACTTTTTATAGTTTTTAAAAAAATTTGGGAAACCCACCCCCTTTGGAAAAACTAAATTTAATTTTTCAAATCCAACAAAAACCCGGGGGAAAAAAAACTTTGATCAAACCAAAAATTTATAGACATGCAGACGGGCCGGTTCTTTTTTAAAATGTCAGGAAAAATCACTTTTGTTTCCAGCAATGTTAAAGGGGTTTTAATTCCAAAAAATTTCAATGCCCGCCTAAAAAAAACAATTTAAAAAACAATACTCAAAGAAAAAATTTGTTCCATTTATTTTGAAAATATTAAAATATGAATATGAACGACAGTAAAATTGACACTTTCATTAAAAAATTGAAAATTTTCAAAAACGTTAAACAGCCATCAATACGGTAAGTATATAAGAAAATCAGATGTTGCACTCGAAATAATTTCAAGTGACTTTCTTGTAGCGGAAAATCCTTAATAAGGAAACAAGGGATCGATTCAGAATCTAAATTCAAAACATTTCTTAAAAACCTACATCTCAATAACTTATTTAAGTCATAATAAGTTTAAATATATCCAGCAAAAATTAATTGTTTGAATATTACAAAAAGAATTAAATTTCCAAAATGCTCTTTTAAAATGAATAAGTTTGGTAGTAAATTGCCGTTAAAGGACTTATGCCATCCATGGTAGATTATATAGAGTGAACAGGTGAAAGTCAAAAATAAGTTTAACATTTTCTTATAATTTTTCCCAATTTTAAAATTTATTTAAACCCGGATAAAAACGAAAAAAACTCCACTAGGTAAAAAAGTGATGAAAAAATTAAAAACCCGGGTGGGAAATTTAAAATTTTAAAATTTTTAACCCATTAAAAAAGATTTGGGGCAGTTTTTTTTAATATTATTTAAAGGTAATTTATTTTTCCCCAAAACATTTTCAAAAAACCAAAATGGAACGTTTTTGGCTCAATTAAACCATCAAAATAAAAACCAAAGTTTTTTTGAAATAAAAAGTAAAATTTGAAAATTTGAAAAAAATAAAGCAAAATGTCACTTTAAAAAAAAAAAACAGCACAGTTTAAAAAAAAATTGCTAAAAAACCTTTCTAAAATACCAGAAAAAATGAATTTATAATTTTTTATAACAAAAATTCATGAGTGAAAAAGTAAAAAACACTTTTTGAGAATCAACTATGGGAACCCAAATTTAAAAAAATTTTACTAAATGTTTTAAATTTTAATAAAATATATTTTCCATAAATCCCAAGTTTTAAAAAATACCCTATGAAAAGTTAGGGCAAAAAAATTTTCCTAAAACTCATTTTTAGTTTTAACCCACTTTTTTATTTTGGGATTTTTTAAAAAAACCTTGTAAAAAAATAAAACCAAATAAAAATTGGGGTTTAGTCAAAATTATATTGCAAACATGACATAAAATGTTCAATATTTTTAAATATCCCCAGAAATAAATGTTTGAAATTTAAATTCATTCCCAATTAAAATAGGGGAAAAATTTAAACACTAAAAAAACAAACAAAAAAAAAAAAATTGCCAGGGAACAAAACATTTAAATCATGTGTCACATTTTGAAGAATTTATCCGAAAATACAAAACCGGGGAAGAGCCATTCTGGAGCTTTACAAAGATAGGAAGAAATATGGCAGGAAATGTGCACTTTCTAAAACTTTCAAAAATCTCAAAAAATGATGTTTTTGAACGTTCAATAATGGTAATAATTAACAGAAAGTACTGTAATTAACTCTTTAAGGTCAAGAGGATTCCCCTATAATATAAGCACTTTATTTTCCCCCATGCAATTACAAATACTGTATAAAATCATCATGGGATTTAAAAAAAAATGTCAGACTATTGCTAGTCTTTTCTTTTCTCTTGCAAACCCCAACATCTCTGGGCATCCAGGCAATTACATAAGACCTAATTAAAATACCTATAATATAATAAATCACATTTCATCATCATCGTCATATCCATTCCCTCCTCGGGAAAATCACCAATTTTCTAAAAAATTCTGGTTTCAACAAATCCTCCGTATTTATCTTTTTACACTGGAAGTATTGTTTACCCTTTTACAATGGGAAAAAAAAAACAGATAAGTTATTAATTTTATTTTAAAATTAAAACTACTATAAAAAATATCTTTTTAAAAGTTTAAAGGGTGAGAAAAACATATTTTTTTTTGTTTTTAAAATATGGGGTTTAAAATTATCAAAAAAACGATTTCAAGTTTTTCATAAAAAAGGGACGATCATTATAATTGCATTTTAAATTTTCATGATTTTTTCTACTCCCTTTTTTGCCATTTTTTATAGTGTACAAAAAAAAAGAAAAAAAGGGTACAGTTTAAAATAAAAAAACCCTTCCCTTATTTTTTTCCAAACCTTGGGTTGTCCTACTGTACACCCAAAACCCCAAAATCCCGGGTTTTTTAAAAACTTCTTTTTCCAAAAAAAAGCAAGGGGGTACAATTTTTAATTTTTTAAAAATTTGCATGATTTTTTTTAAAGTTTTTGATGCAAGGTTACAATATATCTGAAAATCAGAACATTTATAAAAACAAGAAACAAAGTTAACCTCTTTAAGATAAAAATACTATACAAACATCAAAAGGGTTAAAAATAATAAACTGAATTTTCAGATTAATGTGAAACAAGGAACATCGCAATGCGATGCAACCAGGTTTTCAGCAAAATATTTCACAGAAGCTTTGTCATGAAGGGGCATTTGTTTTTTAAATTGAACTTTTTAGGAGGAATTATGGCTTTTTTTAATATTCCTCAAACAAAAATGATTGAGAAATTTTATTGTTGTCTATTCGCCTTTTTTTTTCCCAAATATTTTAGAAAGGTAAACAGTACTTTATTTTTGCTTAATTTTTGCATTTTGCGTCTCTTGTCATTTTCTTTTGTCAACAATATTGGCGTGTGGTGTTTTGTGCGATATCAAGAAAAGTATGTTCACAATTTTTAAAAAAATACTTGAAATGATGTCTTGGAATGAAACATGGGAATTTAGTGAGCGCCAGGGCACTTGAATGACAAAGCTTCTGTGAAAGTTTGGTCAAAATCCATTGAGAAATGTAGGAGAAGTTGCGCACTGTAGAAATTGTTCACTATATATTCTGTATAAGGAAAAAATATACCAAAGGGCCATAATTCGGTCAAATATTATCCAATCAAAAAAACCCCGACAATAATGTGCCAGACACTTGCTTGATAACAAAGCTTCTAAGAAAGTTTGGTCAAAATCCGTTGAGAAAGTAGGAGGAGTTGAAAGCACAGAAAGAAAAATTGTTCACTATATATTCTGTATAAGGAAAAAAATATACAAAGGGCCATAATTCGGTCAAATATTATCCAATCCAAAAACCCCGACAATATGTGCCAGGCACTTGATAACAAAGCTTCTAAGAAAAGTTTTGGTCAAAAATCCGTTGAGAAATGTAGGAAGGAGTTGCGCAACAGAAGAAATTGTTCACTATATATTCTATATAAGTGAAAAAAAAAAACAAAGGGCCATAATTAGGTCAAATATAATACCCAATTGCAAAACCCTGGCAATATGTGACAGGGCACTTGATGACAAAGCTTCTGAGAAAGTTTTGGTCAAAATCCGTTGAGAAATGTAGGAGGAGTTGCGCCACAGAAGAAATTGTTCACTATATATTTTATATAAGGAAAAAAAACAAAGGGCCATAATTAGGTCAATATTATCTAATCGCAAAACCCCGACAATATGCGCCAGGGCACTTTGATGACAAAGCTTCTGTGAAAAAGTTTGGTCAAAATCCGTTGAGAAATGTAGGAGGAGTTGCGCACAGAAGAAATTGTTTACGCCCGCCCGCCCGCCCGCCGACATACCTCAATCTTATAACCAGTTTTTTCCTTCGGAAAACCTGGTTAAAAATTTATATAAATATCAAATATGGGAATTCAGAACAAACTTGGAAATGATTTTGTTTCAATACCTGCATATTGAACACAGCCTCTTCTTTTTGGCTGTCCTGCAACCTGGACCTCACATCTAAAATTGATGAAAGCAATTATTACAAATTTCTTTTCAATGATTTCTTCATACTCATATCATTTATCTAAAGTACATCAAAAATATCATTTTTCCCTAGTTGTTATGTTTTAAGTACAATGTTACATATCAAACTTTTATCAGATTGCATATTTCTGACAATAACAATATCAATTCCATACACACCCATTTGCCTACCTACATGTATATAAAACTATGATACTGGTATTGCAAGGTTTACTGAAATATTCTGCAGCATTAAACATATAAATAGTAAAAAGAATAGCATAGTTTACCATCACAGAATTGCTGTGACTGCATTAATTTTATAACAATAAATAAAAATTCCCAAAACAATCACCTTTTTATGCAAATTTAATAAACTGTTAAGCATTACTCTTGGACAATTGACTACTGGAGTCCATCTGTCCACTGATCAATATCTCTCCAGATTCTGACATTCTTATTATGGTAGCCCACAATTTGACACCACAGAACTATCTGTACTTATTTTCTCCCTCCTGATTTAAATTAAGCAATGTATATAGAATACATTTCTTGCTCTATAAAATAATCAATGCCTTTGATTGGACAATATTCTAAGACTGTTCCTGACAATAATTGAGTACTCTGTTAACAACAATACCTGTCTCCAATTTTCATGCTTTCCACCTTTGCTTTATCTTGTTCTTCCTTCAACCTCTTCTCCTCATCCAACCTTTGCTGTTCCTCTGGAGATATTTCTTTAAATCTTCCTAACTTATTTCTTTCTTTAAATGCTCTTACAGAATCTGTGAAATAAAAATGTTGTACTTCATGGTTATTACTGTTCAGATACTAAAATTAAAAACTGCTACACTCTGAAATTGCTATATTTATGACAAATTTTCACAATGGCCCTCTATACTGGTGCTTGACTGATATATCAATGTTTTATGTACATACAGTTTTATTAAACAAGAACTGTCGGAGGACAGTATTGGCTCGACTATTCGAAAAAGTTGTCACAAGGGTGTTTTATTGAGTATAATAATGCTAACCTATGAATACATAAAATTGACCGAAAAGGTACAAAGGCTATTAATATGTTTTATCAAGTAAATCACTGCTTTATTATTATGAATGTATAAAATTGTCCAAAAAAAGGCACAAACCCTTCAGTAGTTATGGAGATAACAGCTTACAAGCAAAACTTTACCATGAATTTCTAAGTTGAAAAAGGGAAGAAAAATCAGCCTAAATGCAAGATAGAATTATGGATCTTGGTCAGTGACCTACAATTATGACCCTAAATGCTTATGTGAAGTTTAAAATAAATATCTTGAATAGTTATTGAGATATGTAAAACTTGCATGTAAACATTAACCAAGAGACTAAGTAGAAAAGGGGAGATGAATCAACCTAAATGCAAGATAGAGTAATGGAACTTGGTCAGTGACATACAATTATGACCCTCCAATTATGACCCTAAGTACATGTGTAAAGTTTCAAGTAAATATCTTTATTAGAAGACCTTTAACCTTTAACCAAAATTTCTAAGTTTCAAAGGGGCAAATAATTCTGCAAATATTGCACGCAGAGTTATGCAATTTTGCAAACTGATGTACATTATTACTATAATAAAAAAGTATTGTAAAGTTCAATTGAATATCTCAAGCAATAATTGAGATATTTGACTTTACAAAAAACTTTAACTATTGCAGACGCCGACACGGACGCCGGGGCAACTACAATAGCTCTCATATTCTTCGAATAGTCGAGCTAAAAATGTCAATATGAGTTAAATATCATAAATTAATTGTACATGTACACACTCTATCACTGACTTAAATAAATTAAGATATATAAACAAAACTATGTCTCTACATGACTAATGCAAAACTTTTCATTCATTTATTTTCCTCACTTTTAACACCGATGAAGAAGGGTCATTTAGGGTAAACTTGTTCTATCTTTACACTAATCATAATGTTTGGATCATGGAATATCACTTCTAATTAAGAATCTAAATGGGAAGATTTTTGTGACAAGTATCACGTATTGCTCTAATGGTGTAATTATGAAGGGTGGTTTCAAAGATGAAGTTATGCAGATTTGTGGACAAACCAGAGAAATAAACTGTTCTACTGATTGGCCATTATGTTACTATCTGTTGGGTCATATATCCTAATGTTTGTTACTGATTAAATTACAGATTCGGAAAAAAAATATGAACAATGTTGTTGTTTTTATGCCACCGCAATCTGCGATGCGGTGGTATATAGCGATTCACCTGTGTGTGTGTGTGTGTGTGTGTGTGTGTGTGTGTGTGTTATATAGATTATATAGTGAACTTAAAAAATCTTCTTGTGAAAAACTACTAGTCCAATTTCAACCAAACTTGGCAGGATTGTTCCTTGGGTGAAGGGCTTCCAAAGTTGTTCAAAGAATTTCATTCCATGCAGACATCTGGTTGCCATGGCAACCAAAAGGAATTATAAGAATAAATTTAAAAAATCTTCTTGTAAAGACCCAAAAGGCCTAGAGCTTAGATATTTTGCATAAGGCATTGTCTGGTAGAACTCTAACAAGATTATTCAAATTATAGCCCTGGGGTCAAAATTGGCCCCGCCCGGGGGTCATTGATTTTCATTATGTACATGTATATATTATATAGTAAAAACTTAAAATACCTTCTTGTAAAAACCCAAAAGGCCTAGAGCTTAGATATTTTGCATAAGGCATCATCTGGTAGACCCTTACCAAGATTGTTCAAATTATAGCCCTTGGGTCAAAATCAGCCCCGCCCCGGGGTCATTGATTTTCTCTATATGTACATATAGTAAAAACTTAAAACACCTTCTTGTAAAGACCCAAAAGGTCTAGAGCTAAGATATTTTGCATAAGGCATTGTCTGGTAGACCTCTACCCAGATTGTTCAAATTATAGCCCTGGGGTCAAAATCGGCCCCGCCTTAGGGGTCATTGGTTTTCCTTATATGTATATAGTAAAAACATAAAAAAATTCTTCTAGCAATTGACAAATGCTAGAGGTTAGATATCTTGCATGAAACATTGAGTTGTAAACCTCTAGCAAGATTGTTCAAATTATAGCCCTGGGGTCAAAATTGCCCCCCCCCCCCCCTGGGGGTCATTGATTTCAATATATTAGTGATGGAAATCGGTTGAAATTTGTCCCAATAGATCATCGGTTCAGTCGGATGGGACATAATCGATAACTTTTTGAATAACGTCGCCTTAAAAAGAAATATGGCAGTGACATTTCTTCACAAGGCACTTGATTATATTCAGTAACATGAACTTCATTTAGCACTTTTTAACACAGTTTTAACCTTATAATAGTCATAATTTTACGAAATAGATTTTATTTTGCAATGGATGTCAAATAATAACATTCAAATCACATTATATTACTATTGTTTACATCACTTATTGAGCCTGTTCAACTCCAAATTGTCTCTGAGATGATTTTTTGCGATCGGCGAGGTGTTCCTAAAAGAAAATTACCGTCAGAATTAATTACATTTGATTTTTAAACATTTTCGACGACGTCGCGGAACAAATTTTAGTGAATCGATTAGTGTCGCTTTATATAACAGTAACTGATTATCGACGACTTGCGACAATCGGAACATCACTACAATATATACATATAGTAAAAAATCAAAAAATCTTATTGTCTGATAAAAAATCAAAAAATCTTATTGTCTGAAGGTACAAGGCTTAGAGCTTTAATATTTGTTAAATAATATCATCTAAAGGTCCTCTACCAAAGTTGTTCAAATTTTGCCTGTTGTGTCAAAATTAGCCCCGCCCCTGGGAGCCATAGGTTTATCTTATATGTTAAAACTTAAAAAAATCATCTTCTCTAAATTTACAAAGGATAAAGTTAAGATATTTTGCATGAAACATTGTGTAGTGAACCTCTAGCAAGATTGTTCAAATTATAGCCCTGGGGTCAAAATTTGTTCTGCCCCAGGGGTCATTGATTTTCATTATGTACATATAGTGAAAAAAAAAAATATTTTTGTCTGAAGGTTCAAGGCATAGAGCTTTGATATTTGATATATAATATCATCTATATATAAGGTCCTCTACCAAAGTTGTTCAAATGTCAAAAATTTGCATTGTTCGGGGGCAGTGATTCTCATTATGTACACATATTAAAAACAGAAAATAAAACAAATGTTTTCTGAATGGGAGAAAGCTATAGCTTAGATATTTGACTTGAAATGTTGTTTGGTGGACCTGTATCAAGATTGTTATTAAACCCTTGGGTCAAAATTATGCCTTGCCCAAGGAGACAGTGACCTACTCTCTTGTCCTTTGATGTACAGCAATGAAATTTTGACCATGTGCACAGTTTTTAGTTGTAAAATTGAACTTTGACCTAGATTTTGATGATGTGACCTACTTTCTTGTCCTTTGATGCACAGCTATGAAATTTGAACCATGCGGTGGCATAGCATTTTTATGCCACCGCAATCTGCGATGCGGTGGCATATAGCGATTCACCTGTGTGTGTGTGTGTGTGTTTGTTTGTGTGTGTGTGTGTTATATAGATTATATAGTGAACTTAAAAAATCTTCTTGTGAAAAACCACTTGTCCAATTTCAACCAAACTTGGCATGATTGATCCTTGGGTGAAGGGCTTCCAAAGTTGTTCACAGAATTTCATTCCATGCAGAAATCTGGTTGCCATGGCAACCAAAAGGAATTATAAGAATAAATTTAAACTAGAAATGTGTCCATAGGACACGGGTGCCCCCACAGTGCCACTGTTCTGTCAATCTTTTTACTAAGTCAAGGGAAATAACTCTACAAATACTGGATAAATCCACAAGCGAAACCCCAGGTGCAAATCTAAATATGCTGAGCAACCTGCCCATAAGGTTTAATGACTATGTCAAATCCTTTTTGAGTTGAAAATTGCAAAATTTTACTAAGTCAAGGGCAATAACTCCGAAAATACTAAAAATATGCACACGAAAATACCCAGGTGCACAACTACACATGCTGATCAACATTCCTGTTAAGTTTCATGACTCTAGGTTAAATACTTTTTGAGTTACGTGCGACACAAGTTGAAAATTGCAAAATTTTACTAAGTCAAGGGCAATAACTCTGAAAATACTAAAAATATCCACATGAAAATACCCAGGTGCACAACTACACATGCTGATCAACATTCCTGTAAAGTTTCATGACTCTAGGTCAAATACTTTTTGAGTTACGTGCGACACAAAAGTGAACGGACGGACGGACGGAAGGACGGACGGACAGACGGACGGACGGACAAGGGTAAATCTAAATGCCCGCCACTAACGTGGGGGCACAAAAATCTTCTTGTAAAGACCCAGAAGGCCTAAAGCTTAGATATTTTGCAAAAGGCATTGTCTGGTAGACCTCTACCAAGATTGTTCAAATTATAGCCCTGGGATCAAAATCGGCCCCACCCTGGGGGTCATTGATTTTTACTATATGTACATATAGTAAAAACTTAAAATACCTTCTTGTAAAGACCCAAAAGGCCTAGAGCTTAGATATTTTGCATAAGGCATTGTGTAGTGAACCTCTAGCAAGATTGTTAAAATTATAGCTTTGGGGTAAAAATCGGCCCGCCCCTGGGGTCATTGGTTTTCTTTATATGTATATTGTAAAAACTTATAGTAAAAACTTTAAAAACATTTCTTCTAGCAATTTACAATGCTAGAGGTTAGATATTTTGCATGAAACATTGTGTAGTGAACCTCTAGCAAGATTGTTCAAATTATAGCCCTGGGGTCAAAATTGGCCCCACCCCCAGGGGTCGTTGATTTTCACTATGTACATATAGTAAAAAATTAAAAAATCTTCTTGTCTGAAGGTACAAGGCTTAGAGCTTTGATATTTGGTATATAATATCATCTATGGGTCCTCTACTAAAGTTGTTTTAATTATGCCCCTAGTGAATAAATTGCCCTGCCCTAGAGGCGATAGTTTTCCTTATATGTATAAAGTAAAAACTTGAAAAACCTTCTTCTCTGAATTGACAAAGGCTAGAGGTTAAATTTATGGCATGAGACTTTGGGAAGTGAACCTCTACTAAGATTGTTCAAATTATAGCCCTGGGGTCAAAATTGGGTCCGCCCCGGGTTCATTGATTTTCATAATGTAGATATAGTAAAAAAATAAATAAAATAAAAGCTATTTTTGTCTGAAGGTAAAGAGCTTTGATGTTTGCTATATAATATCATCTGTAGGTCCTCTACCAAAGTTGTTCAAATTTTTCCCCTGGTGTCAAAATCGGCCCTGCCTGGGGGCAGTGATTTTCATTAAGAACACATAATAAAAACAGAAAATAAAACAAATGTTTTCTGAATGGGAGAAAGCTACAGCTTAGATATTTGACTTGAAATGTTGTTTAGTGGACCTGTATCAAGATTGTTTTGAATTAAATCCTTGGGTCAAAATTTTGCCTTGCCCACAGGGACAGTGACCTACTTTCTTGTCCTTTGATGTACAGCAATGAAATTTTGACCATGTGCACAGTTTTAGTTGTAAAATTGAACTTTTATATCAAGTGACCTAGATTTTGATTATATGACCTACTTTCTTGTCCTTTGATGTACAGCTATGAAATTTGAACCATGTGCACAGATTAAGATGTAAAGTGAACTTTGATATCAGCTGACCTAGATTTTGACAAAGTGTCTTACTGTGTTGTCCTTTGATGTAGTCATGAAATTTAGGCTGTCGTCTGCTTATCTTTCTGCAAGGGAATGCTAGCAGTTTATAGTAATATGTTGGTTTTGCATTGGTACCGGCTCATCCAGACAATAATATACGAGGTTAATGAAAGACCCGTTCTTCAACAGTATTTGTTCCTACACTTCTATTTAGTGTTGTATTAATGCGGTGGCATAGCATTTTCTCAAATGCAATCTTGTTTTTTCATATGTAATATACATGTACTATTATCTAATGTAATATAGTGTTACAGTATATTTAGGTGTTTTCAACAGACCTGCTCTTTTTTCATATTCATCAGCACTTATTTCAAATTTCTCAACTTTTGACACATCTTCAAACTCTCCCACTTTTGCAGATGGATCATTTACCTGCAAAACGTAAAACATAAAAAGAGATGAGACAAGAGTGATCACATGTGTCACCTAATGATAGCCAATTAAGCAGTTGTGATGAGGGATGATTGACCAGTTTGTTCCCCATATGTTGCGGCTACTTTGTAGCATCATAGTATGTTGTAGGTACGGTGCAGCAGGAGACAGAGCCATTTACAGTCCTAAATGGTTTTTTATTATTCAAGTGCCATACAGCCAAAAATCATTCATAATTATGAGGTATTGATCAATTCTGTAAAGTTTCACTGGAATTGCATAAGTAATATAAGAGAAGTAGTCTAGACAAAACTTTAAAAAACAAAAATAATTAAAGGCAAGAACACTGACAAAATTCATAAATATATACATTTGTATGCACAACTAGACTTGGTATTGATCATTCCTGTAAAATCTAAATGAAATTGCACCAGAAGTCCGAACAAGTTTTAAGACGGACAGATGAATGGATTGACGGAGAGACAGACAGACAAAGGACTGAGCCTACTATGCTATTATGTAGCAGTTAACACAAAAATCATTAACAGGTCAAAACCCCTTTTTTATTCAAAAGCCATAACTTAGCCAAAAATCATTCAACCACAAAACCTGTGTAATATGTACAGGAACTTGAGCTACCAATCAATCCTATAAATATTCATTCAAATTGCATCACTTATATAAATGAAGAAGTCTGGAGAAACTTTAAAAATAAAAAATCAGTAAAGGGCCACAACTTTGACAAAATTCATGGAACTGGAAAATGCAGATGATATGTACACAGAGAATTGGTGCTGATCAGATCATTCCTGTAAAAGGTGAATGAAATTGCAACAGTAGTTTTTGAGTAGTACTGACAAGATTTGATATGGACGCAGGTGCGAACGAAATGGGATATGGGCCATTTCTTTTGTTATGGAATAAAATCTATTGTTCTTGTTCGTTCTGTTTACAATTAGCCGGTCCTCTATCCCTATTTGGTAGTTAAGACAAATAATTGACGGAGAAGTGATTCCTATATATATAAGGTACTCTGTAGCAGGCAACACAAAAAGGCACCATATAAATGATGTCTACACATAGTTTTTTTTAGCATTTCTTGGAATGGTTCTGTGTTTGCCAAGTTTTGAATTTCTTTAATACTGATATGGATACTTTTTTCTATTGTTTGTCGCCCCAGCACAGTATGCAAATGTAGGTCATATGGTGACTTTCCAGCTTAACTGGTGGAGGAAGACCTCAGGTGCCCTTCTGTGCATTATGTCAGGCACAAATGGGCACCTGAGTAGAAACACTGACATTCTGTAGGCTAGCTGGATAGCTTCCTCACAAGAAAGAATTCAAAGTTTTTGTCAGGATTTGAACTAATAGTGGTGAGCCCTTGGCAAGTGGCTTGAAGTCAGCGACCTCAACCATTCAGCCACAAATGCACTTAAAGAATACAACAATTTTATTTTTGAAAATTACATGTAGCAACAACTGCAAAATCATAAATTTAAAATTCATTGGTAATTTTGTGTTACCAAATCTTAACTTTTTTCTGCAAATGAAGTCAAAATAAAATAAAATAAAAAGTATATTTACATGAATTCTCATGCCATCATCAATTGGGTATGAGCCGAGTAGAGCCTCATCATTATCTAAAGGACACACTAGTTTATCTTCCTTGTTAAACAGCTCTAGTTTCATTGTACTAACACCGGCACCTGTTAGCAAAACTAACTTGTCCTGTAAAGATAAAATATTTTCTGAAGTTTAAAACACGACATTACAAAAAAAAATAAAAAAATGTGCCCCCTTCTGATTGGGGGGAAGAGGGTTTGAAGGGGGACAGCAGTCCCCCTCATCACCAAGAAAATTTTGGACTTGTGAGGGGCTAAAAATGGCCTCAGGTCAATCTTAAGGTAACATGTAACCAACGCTGAAAATCCTTAGACTCTATCTTAATTCATTGAGAAGTTGCAGCTTTGATGGAAAAAAAAAAAACGCAAAATAGTGATTTTTGGCAATTTTAAGACGTCCCCCCGTTGCCATGGAAACAGGAAATTTAAAATTGAGCATGCTGTTACAACGGCTATGGTCAAGGCAAGATTTATGCCAAGTTTAATCAGTATTTAAGCATTTTTTATAGTTTTATAGCAGTTTGAACCTGTAACAGGAGGCTTTTCAATGAAAACACCCATTTTTTGCAATATGCTCATGTGGTAAAAGGTTAAACTGTTCTTGAGATTAAATAACAAAGTTGAATGTTAAACATTTAAGTGCATGAATTTATAGGGAATAATGATAAATCTATTTTTATATTCTAGATCCTGGTCCTGGCTGAAATTGAGAGTATTGCTGCTGTAGTCTGTATACCATACATTTTACCAGGTTTGTTAAATTGAAATTCTAATATCTAATATATATATTTCATTACAATGTATAAATAATTCAACTACTGGATATTTTTTTTGTCTTAGTAATATATTATTTTCAGAATACTTCGTAACATTATTAATATATAATTTACTTTGTTTTTTCAGGATGCTGCATAAAATGGTCTTAGCTAGAGCCTAGAATGAATATTTCTTGGAAAAATGCTGCAAGTGACTGATGGCGAGCAGTTTTTCTTTAATACCAATCACAGGTGAGGCTTTTAAATAACTTCTTTTTTTGAAGTTGAATTGTTTTATGTACATAATTTTCTGTCAATATGAAACTAATATTATCTCAATTCATATGCTGTTTTATAATGTAAATCTTAGAGATAAACAAATCACTAAGTTGATTAATTATATATAGAATTTGAGATTGACCAAGTCGCTATTAACTAGTTACTTCTTATCTTATTTGCAGAAGCAGTAAGAGAGAGCAAAAGAAGTATTCAAACACTATCATTATAATGCATACCCAGAAAGATCTAGAAGAAGTAGTAGATAGGAGCACTCAACATATTGAAGCTTAATTGTTAAACTAAAAGGACTTCTTAAATTGTTTGAATTTAAGCTGCATTTGAACTGCATTTTTGAAATAAATATCTGAAGTATTTACAATGTAGTATTGTCTTGATTAAGGACAATGGTACTTCAACATTGTGCCAACGTTGAAACTGCAATGTTGTATCAACGTTGAAAATTTTAACATTGTTTAAACTTTCAAATTTGATTTAATAAATCCAACATTGAAATCAAGACTATATTTCAATGTTGTTACAATGCTGAAGTGCCTGCTGGGTAGCTCTTATTGAATAGACCCCTTTGTTCTTTTACATGCCCAGTGTATAGCACTTAGAGTAATACATGAGAGGATTACTTGGATTTCTTACCAGTACACCTCTAGGTAGGTGGGAAACAGTGAAAGTGTCTTTAAAAATCCCAGTGTTACCCAGGATCAAATCCGGGACCTCCGGAGTGATAGTGGTCCAACAAACTGAGCTATCATGCCACTCAAGAAGAGCCGCCTGTTGGATCAGCTTACGGACACTTCACCCCCAGACACTTCACCCTAGGCCCTTTTTTGCAGACAGTTCACCCCTTAGACAGTTCACCCCTCATTTTAAGAAATTTGATTGAGACACTTCACCCCTCATTTTTTTATTTTGTGTTTAACAATTATTTATGTAGATTATGTAAAATACACTCAATAGTGATTGAGTATGTTTATTGTTTTAAAATATTTTATTATTATTTTACAGGGCTCCAGATAATTTTTTAGGGCAATGAGTATTTACTCATTGATTTTTTTGTGAATGAGTAAAACTTGAAATCTGAAATTTGGAAGGAGTATTTTTACTCCTTAAAATGTATGTAAAAGAGTAAAACATTTATTATGCTTCCATGTTTATTGCATTATCATACTTGTAATACAAGATATGTCAAAGTCATTTCTTTTGCTTTTTGGACTCCCTTGGTTTATAATCTTGCATTTCCAAACGGCATACGTTTTATCTGAACCTGAGGCATGTTTCTGTTGCTCATACGTGGCAGCGCTAATTATTTCATTAATTATAACCTTGTCCTTCGCCGATTTTTTTCGGCTGAAAATACGAGTCAATCGTTTTAACTTTTGACAGCGACATTGTACCGGATGTTTATGAAATTGCGTTAATTCCACCACCTTACTATACATACGATAACAACCGATGATGGTCGGAACTACAGGAAGTTACCGGTAGACGCTTGCAAAGCGTTCAGACGAAATTAAAAATAAGATAATCACCAAGTTAATTTTCGGTTACGTTTACGCGAAAGAAACGTTGCTCAATGCGTAACCTGAACTTTGTGTGCGTTTTCATACGCTTAAATTTTGTTTTGAATGCGTAAACGTGTTATTTCCATGCGTAATTTACGCGTATACGCATCTTATCTGGAGCCCTGATTTTATCATGTAACTGACAAAAGACAACAGATATATTGTTGTTTTTGCCCTACAAAAAAAGGCTCATATCACAAAGTTAATAGTATAAAGTTGTTTTTTTTAATTTTTATATATTTCATACTGGCAACCGATTCATTCATTCATATTCATTTATTATTATATTCATTTTATTTATTTATTATAAATAAATTTAATTTTCATACAATTATACCATTTTAATTTAATTATCTAATCAATATGAGATAACTGTTGAATAAACAACCAATCAACATCTTGAATAAACAAGGTGACATGCAATAAAAACTTAATAATACTAAAAATAATTAATATAAACATATAACAGCATTTTGTTGTTATCGAACTTGTTTTATTTAATTTATAGAAAAAAATTTGGATGAGGGGTGAAGTGTCTTACTGATTTTGGGGGGTGAAGTGTCTTCAAAATTTGAGAGGGTGAAGTGTCTGGGGGGTGAGGTGTCTTGCTACTGTTGGATCAAGCTAGATTATGGTCTGACCTTATGCTTCACTACCTTACACTTTAAAAACTGGAACTCAGACTTATAGATGCTAGGTTATCCATTTTCTAAAAGGAAGTGGCTAGCCGTACGGGCCCGTACGGCTAGCCAAAAGTTCTAGCCGTACGTGAGTCACGTATGAATAGCCTGGACACACTGTATTGGCTAGCCGGCACTTTTCAAAATTATATGGAAGACGAAAATGCATATGTTATTTTGTGTCTTTAAACGACGATTTAAATCAAATCTCCGCATTTATCCTACTGGTTCACTTTAATAAAGATGCTCCGTAATTTTGCAAAAAAAAAATGATTACGAGTTTAAACGTTGTATAATCTATCTTAATAAAATTAAGTGTCAAAGTTGCATCCTTAATTTTCATGCTTATGATTTGTATGAAAGATGAATTGTTAAATCTGTTAATTAAGCACGTCATGGATCGAATAAATAATGATCGGAGGGGGATAAATAAATAAATAAAAAGAATATTTAACAAAAAAAACAAAGGAGAAATAATTTAATAATGCAAACTTTCCTTAATGATGGACGATGGACAAACTTCTATACCGTCGGTAATTGACGCAATTATCAGAGCCTAACAACAATTATTTTCGGTGTTTTTTTTTTTGTTTTTTTTTTTCAATTTAAAAATTAAACTTAATGAAACAAAAAAGGATTATTATCAAAATTTTGTAAACTATTTCAATTGATGTTATTTAACTGCAACCAAACGCTATTTTTTCTCGACGTCTTGAGATGACAAAGTACATTCTTTACCGTAGCCAACACGTCGATTAATCTCTAAAAAGTAAACATTCTTGACTGAAATCCTCGCTTAAAGTCATAATTAACATATGCACTTTCGCCTTCCATATATTTTTTAAAAGTGCCGTATGACTAGCCAATACAGTGTGTCCTGGCTAGTCGTACGTGACTCATGTACGGCTAGACCTTTTGGCTAGCCGTACGGCTAGCCACTTCCTTTCTAAAAAATACACCATGGTCTGGTTGCTATCTCCGGAACATCAAGCCATGCCCATCCCTTATGTTATAGGGCGCAGTCTAAAACGCGGACGCCTTAAGCGGACAATATAAACATATAGGGAAAACGCTGACGATATAGACAAAGAGGAAAAAAGCGGACGATATAGATATATAGTGTAAAATGACTGAGCATAGTTAAATTCATATTAAAGGCTAATAATTGGCTTTTATAAAGTAATATCTGAAATGTGTAATTATTATAATAATTAAAAAAGACTTTAGTTTATTTATTTGTTCAAATTAATCAATGATATTCCCCATTGTAATCTTTATCAACCTGAATAAGATATGAATTTTCTTGAACAATCATGTTATGTTCTACCAGACAATAAAACAGTAAGAAATGTATAAATTATATATTTATGTATATATTGATTCCATTTTTTTTTTTATTTAAATAAAGTGTCCACGTGTCACTTGTATATTTGATATAATCCTGCACGTGTTTAATTTCATCATACACATGATACTTTATACCATATTTCATCAAGTCGAAATAGAAAACGCGGACAATATAGACATATAGTGAAAAAGCGGACGATATAGATATAGAGGGAAAACGCTGACGAAATAAATGTATAGAACGGGAGAATAGAAAACTGTTATAAATAAAAAAAATATCTGGCTTCTACCATGTATATAATTAATTTATATCAATTAACTTTCTTTAATTCATAATATTTTTTAGCTTTATTTATATTTTATCCATTAAGTAAATAAAAGAAACTTTCTGCTATAAATACCAATCAACTAATTAAAGTATCCACGTGTCACCTGTGTATTTGACTTAATCACGCACCGACACTTGTA